AACCGTATTGGGGAAATCAACCAAGTGTACACTCAGTCTGCTGAAATGCGGCCACTAGGATGCGCCATGCTTGCCATATCTTACGATCAAGAACTTGGAAAACCCCAGCTTTACAAATCTGATCCAAGCGGTTTTGTAGCAGGTCACCGCGCAGTTGCAGTGGGGGAAAAGCAAACTGAGGCAATGCGTCATCTGGAGAATGAGGTATGACAAAGTCTGTTTTTATTGCATCTGTGAATTTTACATTGATGCAAATATATGGCCCGTCACACTCCTTAGATTAAAATTCCATCACTGTGTTTTTCTTTTACCAAAAAGTTAGCCGGTTGTAAATGCTACTAACCTAAGCAATCTGTGATTCGCGGATAAAACTCATAGATTGCAAGAGGTGAACACTTTGACAAGTGTTATAGAAAAGGCGTGTGAAGTCGTTTTTGTTTTTAATTTCAAGTTTTTAGTGCTCATAATACAGTATATAACGATTCCACTAGTACACTTATCTTCAAGTATTATTCATATACCTGACTAACTGAAACTTTATTCTCATGATTTTTAAGAATCCTACATCACTGCAAGGCGTGGAATAGTAGGATTTCGAAGTCTACAATCCACTGGAAGACGTATCTTTGCGAATGTTTCATTTGTAGGCATCACACTGTCCGTAAATTGACTTTTGTCCATCGTATGTATAATATTTGTGAAATGTAATTTTTTAAAACTTACCATTGGGGACTTAGTAGATTATAGAAAGATTTAGAGGTATTTTGGGGGCTGCATGAGAGCTGTGGTTAGCCAAATGGGATTTCGAAGGAAGCAGGATATCTTCATATCCTTTCATTTAGGTGAAAGGCTAGTTTTGGTAATAGCACCCCATTAAGGTACCCTTAAGTGCTTTCATAATCCATTATTGCAACAGGTTTGTGTATACGATGTCGAATCGAGTTTATTCCAAGACCAGTACACTATCGCATAGGACCATATGCATTTCCTCATCCTTCTGTATTTTTCGGACTTAATCCTTCGTTTAGTTGAAATCAGTGGGTCTGATTATCATCTAGGAGTCTTTCCTCATTATTTCTGCCTTAATTGTGTAATATCATCTAGTCAATAAGAATAGACAGTAGTGGTAGTCTAATCTAGCCATATCAGTCATTTTCGATATCTTCCTTCTGTGGAATAGTTGCTTGAGTTGCTGTTTGAAATGTTTGTGGTGAAAGCTGTACCGCGTTTTGGTGGTAAGCAATTCATGCAACGTGAGGTAGTAGTGTTAGAAATAGAGTCAATGGGATGCAGCGTTTATGGATTCGACTGTCATACTTACTGTGTAAGGTACAAAGGTATCTGTCCTTTTTACTTGGGCTCTAAAGGACATAGTCAAACATGTTAATTCATTATATCATAATTCCATTAATGAAACATCTATTTTCTGAACCTAAGTAATCCAGCTGCTGCCATGAGGATTTTATGATTATTTTTGTTCAAGCGCAAGACATAACGTGAAGGATATTGAATATTTTTGATTGTAACCAGTCATTGTGTTGGTTTATTTCTTGATATATTGTTACTCAAAATTGGGTAAATTTAACGTTTACTGAGAGGTGTGAGCATGACTGATTAACAATTAATTTTCTGAAATGTATACAGTGCAAAACCAAAATATTGTTTACGCTTATTATTATCTAGTATTTAAAACATGTCCTAAGTTTATACATTTTGTCGTTCCACTCAATTTTTTATTTCTGTCGCATTTTTTGTGTACATGTTTTCTCCCAATATTATAGTTTCGGAAGCAAGAAAACTATACATTAGATGAGGCTATCGAATTAGCAATTAGTTGTCTTTCACACACTCATTCAATGGAATTCAAAGCTACGGAATTAGAAATTGGGGTGGTATCCAAAGCAGACCCTATTTTCAGGTAAACACTGTTACTTCATGCCTTTACTTTAAACTCAATATTTCGATATTTAAGCAATTTTAGTTGTGTTCTTTTGCCCAGTATACTTTAATTAGTCTGACAATCTATTGGTAAGCTTCGTTCATACAGATAAAAAAATAGTAGGGATGTTTCTAAACTGACTAGGTTAAAATTTCGGAATATACGTCTACAATTATTATAATCATGTTGAGAAATTATATCGAATCTTGAAATTAGTCAACTGGATTTCTCTCCAAATTAAGGGTTGTCAAGTAATTCAGTGAGCTTGCATAAAAATCTTGTTTATGAATGAAGTCACAATTTTAGTTAACTTCTGTGTAAGCTTCTGTATCACTAACGTCGAAGTACAGTCTGAAGGCAATGCATAAAATTCAACAATTCTAAATGCATCTGATATTGAATTCTAGACATTACTCAATATGTCTAGTCATACATTTTTCGTAATTGAATGTTATTCCTACTACTGAAAGTGTTACTTTGCATATGTACATTAAGCTACAAATCACCCCTATTGCGTAGGCAGTAAAACTTCGATTCGTTACCTGAATCTACGTTCGTCTGTGTATTCCAACGCACTAGCTGCAGGTTGATGTCTTTTTGCAGAATTAGTGTGTGGGGATTCTATTTGTTTCACGTTAGACCACGGATTGATATCAGTTAAAGAACCATTGAAAACCAGGGAGTACTGGACAGCTGTTTCGTCCTAATTGGGGCTCATCAGTGGCACGCATCCACTGGGTTTCGAACCCAGGACCCTCCGATTACAGGTCAAACTCTCATACTATCCAACCACTGGGACCCGATTCAATGGCCAGTCCATGAATCCTAATTTCTACCAATTCGTGATTTTTAGCGCGACCACCAACCAATGTCATAGGCGGCAACTCCATCCTCACTCCCGACTGGATAGACTCCACTGGTCACAGATGATGCCGATGAGTCTCAAACTAGGACGGAAGAGCTGTCCAGTACTCCCTGGTTTTCAGTGGTCCTCTAATTGACGTCTTTTATCAATAAGTTAAAACTCAATCTTACTATTTTCCAGGTGAATTGTTTCTCTGCCGTCATGTTCATAATAATAAATAAGTTATTATTCGTTATAATAGTTATAATATTAGTTTACATTGACTTAAGTTTCCAAAACTCAAATTGCTGGAAATAGTTATGTTTCACTAAAAAATGAGTAGTCTGATTTCATGCTCCTCAAGATTATAACTTAATTTATTTAGAAAGTAACTCACTATTACTAAAGATTTTTTAAAAACGAATTTTTATTCTGTATTTTAGGAAGTTGACTGTTGAAGAAATCGATGTTCATCTTGTAAGAATGTCTGAAAAGGACTAAAACACACAAATGTGTATATTGTTTTATTTGAAAGGCATTACATTTTTTACTTGAATATTCTTTTGTTGTAAAATGCAGCAGTAAATGAATGGGAGTGACCGCGGTACTTTGTTACAACATGTCACTGCTCCAAAGCAGGAGTAGGGTTAGACAGAGTTACTTACATTTACCACTCTTCAACTGTGCCACTGATGATATTCTGGCTGGCTGGATTCAATATAGAACTTGGCACCGAAGTGCAGCAGTTTGAGTTGCCACGTTCCAAAGAGCACACAAAGGTAGACAAGAAAATGAGTGAAGAGAATCAATAGAGCTTTGACAAGTATAAGAGTGAAACAGAATGAATAATGGTAGAAAGGAATATGAAAGATTGCAGAGACTGAATACATCTTCGTAAGCCATTGACAACGATTTTGAGCCATGTCACCTATTGTCTTCAGCCATTGATTCTTAGAGTCCCGAGGGCCCCAACCCGGAAGTCTGCATCTCCCTACCTGACTCAGTTTAACTGTCAAGGATATCATGGATTGATGCCATGTTTTTGTTTGGCCACCACTTACTCTTTTCCAACCTGCACCTATATCAGCTAGTGATGCCCGTCGGGGGAGACGATGGTTAGGCATGCGCAGCACGTGACCTAGCCATCTTAATCTATGTAACTTTATAGCCTCTTCGATTGAATTTCCCTCTTTGCCCAACACTCTACGCCTGACGTCAACATTACTTACCTTATTATACCACCTAACGCGAGAAAGAGATCGTAAACATCTGTGGTCAAAAACAGTCAACCTTTTCATGTCTTCAACTCGTATTGGCCATGTTTCAGAGCCATAGAGAAGGACGGAGCGAACTGCTGAGCAGTATACACGTCCCTTGGTTGATAGCCGGATGTCATGCCTACGCCAGAGACGATGTAAGTTAGCGAAAGCAGCCCGAGCTTTTTGGATCCGTGCTGAGATTTCGTCGCCAATCAATCCGTTGGTACTGATACAACTTCCCAAATAGGTCAAGTGGTCAACATGTTCTATCACTTCACTCCCTATCACTAAGCTAGGAGTTAACGTAGTCCAGTCCTGTAGCAGCATCTTACATTTTACAGGGGCGAATCACATGCCAAACATACGAAGATTGCTGCTCAAGGTGTTTAGAAGACTGCATTTTGTCAGCGTCCTCCCCTAACAGGACTATGTCATCTGCATATTCCAAGTCTATAAGACTATTCCCTGGTAACAAGTCGATTCCTAGGTCGTTAAGTTCAGTTAAGGATACTTCCATTAGCATATCTATGATGGAGTTAAACAGAAAAGGGGAAAGTGGACATCCTTGACGGACACCACTGGTTGTTATCAATTCTGGCGATAGATTTTAAGTAGATGTGTAGTAATGTAGGTTTCCCAACCAAAAAAAGACTATTCAACCTTGTCCATGTAAGTGCTGTCTTCCTATTTTGTACATTCAAAGTACTTTTGAACGAGTGGCTACAAGACTAATAATGCCAGTAACATAGTTACCAGCACACATTCAAATATGCTTAGTAGCAATACCTACGTGGTAATTCTCTTATTCTATATTACTATGAAATAGTGCTAATATAAATGTATTTTGTGTTTACATGATTAGCGCAGTAGGTTGTAAAGCAGACAAACCGAAGGTGGTACTGCTCAGTTTCGTGAATTGTCCCGTTGACTATGTATTTATGTTTGTATACATTCAGTTATGTATTACGAAGAAAGCTTGGAAGAATTAGATATTAATGAGAAACGGAGGTAAGTACCAAGATTGTGTAACAGATGAACAGATTAAACAAAAGAATAGTTATCATCTAAGAGGACATTGCGAAATGGTCGCGCTAGTACAGCAGGTTGAAGATGTGACAGTAACTCATCTAAGAAGACATTGCGAAATGGTCGCGCTATGTCGTGAATTGGCAGAAGTTAGAATTCAAGGACCATTGGATCGGGTCCCAGTGGCTCAATGGTCTACGAGCTCGCCTTGTAACCAGAAGGTCCTGGGTTCGAATCCCGGGTGGGCGCGTACTGCTGAAGAGTCCCAAACTAGGATGAAACAGCTGTCCAGTACTCCCAGGTTTTCCAGTGGTTCTCTAACTGATGTCAGCTCATGATGAAATCCTCCATATAAAAGAGTAGTTAGTAAAATGATGTTATTAATTGTAATGACAAAAATAATCATGACAGCGAGATATTGGTTAATAAGTGGGTTTTGAGTTATTTCCATAATAGAAGGCGTGAATGGACAAATTTTTTATTTGGAAGGTGAAAATTAGTTTTTTGGGGGAAAAATATCCGTTAATGAACATGATGAGCGCTAAGCCTCTGTGAAGTATCATTAGCATGAAATCGTTCATCTCATCACACGCTAATTACTGTGAATAATAATAATAATAGCTTTATTCCAAACAGTACTTTAGTTACAAATATGGAATTCGCAGCATGTAATACAATATGGCATCTAATTTAATCATTACAGGGGCAATAATTAAAATAGGGCATTTACAATAATAATATTGTTCAATAAGAAGTGAATATAAAATTAAATCAAGTTAAAATATTAGCGACAATGTAATAATGAGAACAGAAAACAATGCCGTTTACTCAAAGTTCCTCAGTAAGCTGGTACTTTCCTGTCTTACACTTTTCTCATCATATAAAATCTGTGCCTGCCAAATACAAGGTATTGTAAAGTTGTTGTACTTAGTCGTCCGAGCATACAGTCTTCTATAGTTGCTTCTAGTTCTACCCGATGAGTTGCAAGGAGAGAGAGTTGTGTATGAAGAGGATGTTCAGAGTCTGACAGGATGATATTTGATAATTTCTTGCAGGGTTCCAAGTGTGTATATACAACAGTATTAACAAGTTGGTTTAGGAACACCCTACTGACTCAGCCTACTGCCAAGTTTTAGTGCACTACGCAGTATTACAAGGTCTTTCTTAAGTAGACCGGTGGAGATTAAGGGGGAACAGTAAAGAAGTACAGCCAGGTAGAATACAAGAATTAATAAACGGCAACAGTAGAGACGGGATGATGCCATATCGTCTTAACTTCTTGACACAGAACGTCAAACGAAATATCTTTCTGGAAACTAACATGATGTGGGAAGACCAGGAAAGATCAGAGGAAATACACAATCCAAAGTATTTAACATTCGATTTAGTTTCAACTTCAGTGGCATCTATGATACTAAAATCATGGGAAAGAGCAAGTACATGTAAATCATGCTTGCATCTGAGAGTGAAATTAACCACCTGACATTTGGAGGGATTAAGCTTAAGATTATTTGACAAGGACCACTGACTAATTTCTGATAAGAATTTCTTCATTTTTGCACAGTCTGACTGAGAAGTAACAGGCATAGAAACAGTCAAATCATTGGCATACTTAACAAAATTGGCTTTGTCAGAATGCGACAAGTCATGTAAGAAGAAGTGAAATAGAACATAGTCTCAATAAGGTAAACTTGGAACGCATGTTTTTGAAACATGATACTATTGTCTAATTAAGACGAGTATAAGTCCAAACTTGAAGTTTTATTATGTCGACATTGTTAGGGCGGACAAGCCTTCCTGAGGGATTGTGATGTTTTATAACCAATCAGGTTAAGATATGTTATGACGGAGTGATATTATTCTGTTTGATCGTTACCGTTTTTTCCAAGTCTGACCCTTGTGTCAGTCTCAGTGTGGGAGGTAATTTCAATTGGTCAGTTAGTTATAGTGTCGTGTCTGGAGGCGCATCCTAGTCAAGTTAGACAACTCTGCAAATCAGTAATACTCTGTCGTAACATATTTTGGCGAAGTGTTTTGTTTTACGCTACCAAAAATACATCTTTTAGAAATATACCCTGCAAGAGAAATGAACTCAAGGTGTGATAACAGATGATGATGTGTGATGACAGATAACCATAGTGGAAAAAGATAAATTAAATGAATGGAGGAGATAAATTGAAGTGCACAAGGGGAATAAACGCCCCATAAGTAAAGTATGCTATAAGACAGAATACTAACATTAAGATCTTGTAATACTTCACAGTTGGCTAAGTTACAATCAATGCAACCATTTTGGCAGGGAGTGGTTCACGTAGGAAATCAAGAGTGGAATGAATACCTTCAAATGATGATAGCATAGACTATGGCGTTCTCAACGAAATAAGAGTCGACAAATTAATTGACGAGAAAGTTATGATACTACTTTTGTGCAACAAGTAGCAAGAAAATAAAGTGATAAAAGTATACGGACACAATTTCAGCTACCAATGTAATCAAATGGTAGACAAATAACAGTGAATTTACCAGCTAACTTTTGATTTGAAATTCAGTGACAAAATAATGATGCAGTTATGTCTAATTCATTTGTCCTATCTAACTGAGATGAGATGTGCGTTCTAGTTACCACCTTTATGTTGCTATTGAATAGAATTCTTTGGAATAGCGTGTTAGTCTGATCATGTAGTTAGTGGTTTACATGATCTTATTTTACTTCGTTGATTTGAATTAGTTTAGTGCGTTGCTGTCAAAGCGGTAGAGTGCTTGCCGACCACACAGGTGGTCCGGGGTTCAATCCCCAGTTGGCCCACTCCTTTACTCGTTAAGCCAGTAACAAGACTGGTAAAGAGGGAAGGTTGGGCATGAGGCTAGCGACCCCATCCCGTAAAAATAAACGCCACTGCTACCGAAACTTCAGATGTCTAGCTTGAAGCCCTATGTTCCACTGGGAAAGTAAAGGAATAAATAAAAACACATTGAATCCGTGTAGCCAAAGCATAATTTGAGACCGATTGTTGCAGATTTCTGACAAGTTGTAAACTTGTGGGAAATATCTGTCCAGTGTAACTTGATTTCAGGACATGATTTCCAACGCCTATGTATCATTATATACTATTATTTTCTTAGGTTCCGAGTGGAACATAGGCCTTCGACAGCACATCTACATTCCAATCTGTTCACTGCAGTCGTCTTTAGCTGGTTCCACGATTGGCGATAAGCTCTCATCTTCTCAAATAGTCTCTTCCATATCACCCTTGGAAGCCCAACTCTCTGTTTCCCAGCCAAGGGCCTTGGGCGTGATGTCACTCAACGATCTCCTCAATGTGTGTCCGATCCATCTGTATTTCCTTCGGCATATTTGTTGAAAACGCCGGTTTTTGATTGGTTTGTTCCTAGAGTTCTTTGTTTCTGTATTTATTTCTTTACAAGTTGATCAAGGATTGATATCAGTTAGAGAACCATTGAAAACCAGGGACTACTGGACAGCCAGCTGTTTCATCCTAGTTTGGGAATCATCGTCAGTATGCACCCACTGGGATCCGAACCCAGGACCTTCTGGTTACAAGGCAAGCTGGCTCGTATACCATTCAGCCACTGGGATCCGATTCAATGGCCAGTGCATGAATTCTAACATCTACCAATTCGTGATTTTTAGCGCGACCCCAACCAATGTCGTCAGTGGGACATCCATCCTCACACGTGACATCTGAATGGGCATCACTGGTCACGACTTCTCACTAGAACTCCAGGAAACTCCATCCTGTAGCAAGTCACTAGCGATTAACAGATTAATTTTCTATAGTTTGGTTTGTAAGGGTTGAATAAATTTACCTTGAAATACTGCATAATCATTCGAAGAAACTATTATTCGAGATAAATTTAAAATATATATAACCAAGGATAAAATAGCAAAATCTATACAGCAGGGGTGTTTTTTTACACGAAGCAATTATGTAGCTATTAAATTCTCTAAACTCTTCATTGTGAGTAATAGTCACTTCGGAGCACCCTCCGAAAAGTACTTCCAATATACAAAGTAGTTATAGCAGGGTGATAGACATTCACTCATTTCGAATACTTCTCAGTTATTTACCACATCTGAAATACCCTCAAGTATATATATATATATATCTTCGAATGGATAACAATGCACTGACTGAGACAATACACGTGTACAGTAGTCAAAATTACTGAACTGTAGTGAAAATATTAGGCTCTTTCACACCTAGATGAGTATTCTAGACGAAGTAATGGAATTTGATGACTAGTTGAAAAAAGCTTATATTCTTTAACTGACAAGGAAGTAAACTGTTAAGTTAGGATATACTGTGAAATAGATTGTAAGGATTGAAGCAAACACACAAAAAAAAAAAACCGGATCATAAAAACTACATAATTGAAATTATAAAAATTAATATTACCGTGGTTGTTTAACAATGACAAACTATATAACAATAAAGAAGTATAAAAGATTAGAATTTGCAACTTGTTGAATTCAAAAAAATATCTATGATCATTTCTTTATTTTGCCAACTTTTTGATAGTTAACAAAATGATTTAGAAACTATCCACTCATACTACTTTCTAATTTTAAAGTATTCAACATTGATCATAAATATAATTAAAAATAACCAGTAAAACAAGAGTGCGTCGGTGGCGTAACGGTCGAATGCTCGCCAACCACTCAGGTGGTTCGAGGTCCGATCCTCGACCGACGCACTTCTTTACCTCCTCAGGTCAGTAAGTAATAAGACTGGTAAAGAGAGGCGGTTGGGAATGAGGCTAGCAACTCCATCCCGTAAAAATAAATACCACTGGTACTGGAATTTCAAAGCTCTAGTTTGAATCCCTATGCTCCACTGGGGACGTAAAGAAATAAAAAAAAGTAAAACAAGAGAATGATTCATACACATACAAGTATGTCTCCGGTCAATCACGAGTATGCATGCGAATAGGAGTGACTTTATTTCATGCCCCTGCTAGCT